GAGCTATGATGCCCTAACACTGTACCTAAGGCAACAGAGCAAGACTGTCTCAAAAAAGAAAAAAAGGCAAGTTAAGAGACATGTCAATTGAATGGAATGTATCAACCCTGGTTTGAAAAAGTCAGTATCGGCTCGGTGCCTATAGCTCAACCGGCTAAGGCGCCAGCCACGTACACCTAAGGTGGCGGGTTTGAATCACCAGCCTGGACCCGCCAAAACAACAATGACGGCTGCAACCAAAAAATAGCCGGGCGTTGTGGCAGGCGCCTGTGGTCCCAGCTACTTGGGAGGCGGAGGCAAGAGACTCGCTTGAGCCCAGGAGTTGGAGGTTGCTGTGAGCTGTAATGCCATGACACTCTACCCAGGGGGACAGCTTGAGGCTCTGTCTCAAAAAAAAAAAAAAGAAAAGAAAAAGTCAGTATCAAATAATTGTGAAATACTCGAGGGTAATTTGAAGATGAATTTGATACTTGGTGATATTGAGAAAGTGATAAAAAGTATTGTGTCTGTATATTGTATTTTGAAAGAGAACTTACTTTCTGAGATATATACTAAAATATTTATAGATGAAATTTTGTTGTGTGATATTTGCTTCAAAGTTGGGCATGCAGTCACAATGAAACGAGACTCGCTATGAGTTGGTAATTTCTGATGCTGGATGAAGGGTATGTAGCATTCATTATGTTATTCTATCTATATCTGTATATAACTGAAAATTTACATAATAAAAATTTTTCTAAATAAAAGCTGAGATATGGGTTTGGATAACTTGGAGACTGGTTTGAACATACTTTGCTTTTAGTAAACTACAAAAGATACCAAGGACACTCAGGCCGTTAGGATCTGTGCTCCTCCTAGGATCTATCTCATTGCCAGCTTCCCATACTCTCATTATAAGAAAACATTAATAGAAAATTTTTAATAAAAATGACAAAGGAAGCAAATACAAATCAGAGTTTTCCTCTAATTTTCCTATGGAGGGCTAGTTTCTTAAAAACCAGAACAAAAACAATAGAGTAGACAAGCAACTGATCTCCCAAAGAGAGTAAAAGACTGCTCATTACACACACTAACTGAAAGTAAAGAACAAACAGGCACACAGTATTCACTTTAACTTTTTAAGTTTTTTAATATAAATGCCACTTATCTCATTTGACCTTAATAAGTCACTTCCTAGAGGTAACCAACACAAAGAGGTCTCAAAATTAGTTAGTGATAGAACAGAGTCTCACTCTGTTGCCCTAGGTAGAGTGCCATGCTGTCATAGCTCACAGCACATCAAGCTCTTGGGCTCAAGCGATCCTCTTGCTTCAGCCTCCAGAGTAGCTGTGACGATAGACACCCACTATAACACCTGCTTAGTTTTTCTATTTTTAGTAGAGAAGGGGTCTCACTCTTGCTCAGGCTGGTCTTGAATTCCTCAGCTCAAGGGATCCACCTGCTTTGGCCTTCCAGAGTGTTAGGCTTATAGGTAAGCCACATGCCTGGTCTCCTTCTGCCTATTCTATGCTTTTCCCACTAATCTCTTCCTTTCCTATCCAACTTGGTTTAATTATTCAGTTTAAGGAAAAGCCTGCCCAGCTCTAACTTTTATTACCACTAGAGTCATAGACACCTGATAATATGTGGCTCAGTAAAGATAGCTACTGACAATTTGTTGATGATTGCTCCATGCTGGACAGTTCCCCAAAATTTACTTAGCAATTTGGACAGCTCAAAATGGCTTAGAAAACTTAGAAATGAGGAGATTTTTTCCCTGTCAAAAGCCACTAATAGGGGAAAAAGAAAAACATCAAGTTAATAATTTAGAACAATTTAATGTTTGTTAGAGTGTAGATATTCATGTTTTATAGAGGGTAGGGATAGAGAAATGAACATATTAGTAAGGATTTTTTCCTTTCCAACTTAATGGATAGACACTTGTCCCATGTATTTAAACATATCCCAATTTCACTGACAGTTACAAGCTAGGAACCCTCTAGACACATAAGAATGTTCAATTTGTTGACCATGAAGAATTACATTTAAAATAACCCAGATTCTGCCCTTTGTCTCATCCTTGGCAAACCTGGCTTACTACCACAGACGATTCTGTTCTAGGCATTCATTTAACCCACCAACATCAGTAAAGGAATGAAGGTCAAAGCCTGGACCTGCTGAAAGAAGCCATCCCTAGAAACTGCCTTTCAACTTATGCAGCCTCACAATGGACACTTGAGAATTGCTGGGATTGTCCGTTCCAATTACTTGCTCCTGGATCACTAGAGATAGAGATGGAGAGCGTTGCCAGTAGCTCTGAGCACGCTGTGTTGTCTGCTGAGTTTCCATGCCTTTTGCTATTACAAAAACTTTATACTCTCAAATTGTATGTGATGATTCTTTCCATCAGTGGCATCACTGTCCTGATATGACAACCATGCAATAAGCAACTATCCCCAACTTTACTTCAAGTCACTAGCACTTTCTCTTAGAAACTACTACTCACTCAGGTGCTCTCCCTACCACTTCTGAAATTCAAACAGAGGGAACCCTATTGCCACTAAACTAACTACGTGGGCATATTTGAGAAAAGGGCAGAGACATGAACCTACAACCAGGAATGCAAGCTAACTGGAGCAAATGCAGCTTTCCAATACTGCCCTTTAAGTAATTTAAAGATGGAATTTGGGATAAACTAACATTTGTGAATTGCCTACCATGTATAATGCATTGTGCTAGCTCCTTTATAAATCTCTCATTTAATCCCAACAGCCTTCCAGATATTTTTGTTATTATTGCCTTTTCACAAATGAAGAAGACAAACATAATGTATGCTAAGTAACTTGTCCAGAACCTTAAACCTACTATATGGCAGGGCCAAAAGCTGAACCCCAGAGAGTAATCAAACATCTAATGACTTGCTTCTTACTACCTCATGCTTTCCAAAGGAGTTATAACTTATATGATACGAGAAACAAGGTACTTCTAATTCAGGCTTATGAGAAAATGAGTAACTTTAATACACAGCAAAGAATACCATCCCTTGAACCAAATGTTATTAAACCAATACACATTTTTACATATTCTAATCTGACAGTCCATATACCAAATCTCTCTACCAGTCAGACCTTGTATAGTTGGAGGAAAAGCAGAGAATGTTTTGGTCAAACTCCACGGTATTTTCAAATATCTGAAATATGTGAGATACGGTGGTGCCTGTGGCTCAGTGAGTAGGGCCCCATATATCGAGGGTGGCGAGTTCGAACCCAGCCCCAGCCAAACTACAACAACAACAGAAAAAAGAAATATATGAGATACTCCTCCACTTCAAAATCTATGAATAATAATCCTTCTAAAAATCTTACCAGATTTATGCTAGTCTACCTCGAAGTAATGAACCTTTGAGTTTTACCATAAAATGAAGAATTTTAAAATATGTAGGTTTCCATTTGCTGAAAGCACTATAAAAATGGATTAAAAACTGAAGTATAGGCTTGGCACCTGTGGCTCAAGTGGCTAAGGCGCCAGCCACATAAACCTAAGGTGGCAGGTTCGAATCCAGCCCTGGCCCACCAAAACAACAATGACGACTCAACCAAAAAATAGCCGGGTGTTGTGGCAGGCGCCTGTGGTCCCAGCTACTTGGGAGGCTGAGGCAGGAAACTCGCTTGAGCCCAGGAGTTGGAGGTTGCTGTGAGCTGTGATGCTACAGCACTCTACCCAGGAGGACAGCTTGAGCCTCTGTCTCAAAAAAAAAAAAAAAAAACCTGAAGTATAAAACCTTCTCTCTAAAGTATATAGCTGAATTAATATATGATAATATGGATAAATGGTAAAAGCTATCACTTACAGACTACTTACTATGTGCCAAGCACTCTACACATGTATTTTGTACCTTACAAAAGCCTCTGTGATTATCAGTAACTAAGGTGAGAACGTACATATAACTTGGCCAGAGTAAAATAGCCAGAAAGTGTTGGAGCCAGAATGGAAATCCAGGCGAGTCTAACCCTAAATCCTATGCTCTTACAGCTACTGTTTACTGACTCAATTCTTATCCAGTAATAATATATCTTTGTCCTCAACTCTGAAACCATTGTAGATACACATACACATTTATTTAAACCTATTAACTATATCCATTAATTTGTCAGTTTCTAAAGTGAAATCATTAAGTACCTAAAGTATTACCATTAGAAAAATTCAAATAAAGCAACAAATTCTCACTAAAGTTCTGAGAGATCAAAACTGAGCATGAAGAAGTTCTAAAATTGACATGAACGTGGTACAACCAGGTAATCATTTTAAGCACTGAAGACAATTCAAGGCCAGGCATGGTGTGGCTGACATCTGTAATCCTAGCACTCTGGGAGACCAGGGCAGGATGATCACCTGAGCTCAGGAGTTTAAGAGCAGGCTGTGGAAGAGTGAGACACCATTTCTACTGAAAAATAGAAAAATTAGCCAATCATGGTGGCATATGCCTGAAGTTTCAGCTCGTTGGGAGACTGAGGCAGGAGGATTGAGCCCAGGAGTTTGAGGTTCTAGGAGCTATGATGATGCCACTGTACTCTTAATCCAGGTGACAAAGTAAGTCTCTGTCTCCCCTTCCCCCGCCCCCAAAAGAACTTGTTCTTTAGAAATCACATTAATGACTGAATTGTGGATTTTATCTTCTTCTCTTTAAAGTTTTTTATTAGTCAAATAACAGAATACATGTAATCACAACTTGGACAATTTTAAACTTCTGAATGGGCTATTATTGGACATTGTTTCACTGTTTCAAACTTCTTCCAAAAAGTATCATGTCTAAAAACTAAGCCAAGAGTAACATTCCCCAGACATGAATCCTTTTGTCTATTAGTATCCGAACCAAAATAAATAATTGTTAGATTTACAAGATACAGCTTAAAACAGCATATTCTTTTCCTGTTGTTTATCAAACACATTCATTAGATTAGCTGACAGGACGACGTAAGAATCATTTTCTAAGAACCATCAAAGAACAGATCAAGTCTTACCTCCATTGCTAAAGCTGCTGTCTGTTGGTCATAATGATTCAGAAGATTAGGCATGAAGGTAGTATTATAAGGCAAATCTTGGCACATCCTCAAGGTAATAGGTTCACAAGAAAACAAACTGTGCCCACCTATATGCCCCACAAACACAGTCAAGAGCCAAAGATAGAAGACAATCCAGCTCATAGCCATCCTTCCTGGGTCTGACAAGGCTCGGATGATCAGGGCCCACTCAGTACTTGTATGTTAGATCTTTACACACCTGCAGGTCTTGGCTTGGAAGTATTCTTCTATATCTTACTATTAAGTTCTTCAAATAAATACTCTTCGCACTGTCAGAGGTTCGTTAGCTTGGTCTCACAAAAGGCATTTGTTTTTGGTTTCACAATATGGGAAAATGACATCATCTTGTTTCTTCTTTTCATTTTATTACATAGGGCACATCTGGCCAACACATCGAGTTGATCAACCACATTCCCAAACAACAGATTCCATCTTAGGGGAAGAGCTTTTTCTTCCTTTGACTGAAATATCTGAAAAGTTATTATTTTAAAAAAAAAATTGAGAAATTAGTCAAAATATTATGGACTTCATATTAAAATCTTGGGTGAGAGATATCATACTGACCAAACAGACAATAATACATGGGTACTTCATAAAGATATAATATGGTTTTTCTACTTTATAATTTATATTATAGATATACTAAATCCTTACACAGCATCTAAAGGCAAATTTTATGTACAATTTTCCCCAACCATTTATTGAATAAGCTTTCCCATTAATTTAAAATGCCTTGTCATTCAAAAAATAGTTGTATGTAAAAGTAAAAAAAAAAAACAAAAAAAACCCAACCTGCTATGTGTAAAACCTAGTACTGCCATGTCTCCTAGGTGTCAGGAAATGGTGCCCCAAACAATACTAGGTCAAGGAAGCCATGACGACTCTTGAAAGAACAGACAGAGCATATTAATTTGTTATTCTAGATATCCTACTCTTGAGCCTTTGATAAATGAAAAAGGCACTCTTTTTGTTTAAATTAAATAGGATTTTACCTACATATCTGAAGGGCTAAACTACAGCTTTGAACTTTACCTTAGAATTGAAAACAAGATAACCTAAACATTTGTACCCTTGTATGATTGTGAATTTTTTTTTTTTTTTTGCAGTTTTTGGCCAGGGCTGGGTTTGAACCTGCCACCTCCAGCATACAGGGCCAGTGCCCTACTCCTTTGAGCCACAGATGCTGCTCTACTGTGAAATTTTTTTAAAAAGGCAAGTATTTTCTTCCCTCAGTTGCTTAACACATGGGTTAACTTCTCAGCTATGATGGCAATCTTTCATTTGTCACCGATATAATTGATACACTTTAAAACATTCTTACTCTGTTGTCCTACATTTTATTTGATATCAATTATACTTAATAACCTAAATTATTGAATTTAAAATTTATTGTGTTTTAATCCTTAATAGTGTATTTTTACATTCAATGATTTGGTAGAAGCCATCTGTGAAAGGGGTCTGAAAAATAAACTAGAAGATATAGATTCCAATCACTTATAAATTGTGCGAATGTAAATGTATCACTTAATTTCTTTGAATCCAGAATTTTTCTTCATGAAAATGATTCCAGGGCAGTGCCTGTGGCTCAAGGAGTAGGCTGCCAGCCCCATATACTAGGGGTGGTGGGTTCAAACCCAGCCCCAGCGAAAAAATGCACCAAAAAACATTAAAAAAAAAACAAAACTATTGGGAAAAAAAATGATTCCAGTATCACCTCTCTCACAGGGATGATGTACAGGGGAATCATGACAAAATGTATACAAAAGGACTTTGCAAATGGTTAGTATCAAACAGTAGGTATTTTTATTAGTGAATTATAGCTGATACAAATGATACCTCTATCGTCCATACTGAAGTGACAAATATCAGGAAAATTTCCCAATGTTACATAATCTTTTTAGACTGTGCAAAAACTTAATACCATAGATATAGCCCTTAAATTAGAAACATTTAACCAACAAATTACATCACACACAGCTAGACTAAACAGGAACAGAAATCATCCACAGAAAGTCACAGCACTAGGAGGAGTGACTCTCAGTCAGCGTTTCCAGTGAGCTTCAGAATTTCTGACTTGCCTCCACCTTTCCAGGGCTGGGAGGGTATGGGCGGAATGAAAGGCAGATCTGGTAGGAAAAAAGCAAATGCTAAGCTACCACATTTGGATTTGGTTTAGTAATGGTTCACTCTGCTTTTATTTGTTTCATATGCATTGGATATTCTTATGTTTGTTGTAGAGAGCTTTTGCTGGGAAAATAGGAAAAATTCAGGTTCAGAAATTCTCAGAGACCCAGGTAAACAGGACAACTCGAATACTACCACCCACAATAGCTTAGACCTTGAGATCTGGAACTGGTTTGGCTTAAGGAGGAAGAGAAACTGTTCCTTGTGCATTGACTATCAATGACTGGGACCTCTATATCCCAAGTATCAGTTACTAGGCAGAAAACTATTTGGAGAAAATAAGAGTTACTAAATCTTCCCAATTTATTCCACTAGGAGATGGTCTTGAGTGGTGAAAAGGAAAAGGAAAGTCTGTGGCCTCCAGGAGGTTATGAGCAATCCCTGCTCAAAAAGTTTACATCTCCCTATACGCTCTACATCAGACATTTCTGTGACAACTTCTTAGCCTTTTTTTAAGACAGAGTCTCACTAAGTCACCCTCAGTAGAGTACTATGGCATCACAGCTCACAGCAACCTCAAACTCTTGAGCTTAAGCAATTTTCTTGCCTCAGCCTCCCAAGGAGCTGGGACTACAGGTGCCTGCCACAATGCCCGGCTTTTTTTTTTTTTAAGACAGTGTCTTTCTATGTCGCCCTCAGTAGAATGCTATGACATCACAGCTCACAGCAACCTCAAACTCTTGGGCTTAAGTGATTCTCCTGCCTCAGCCTTCTAAGTAACTGGGACTACAGGCACCTGCCACAACCCCTGGCTATTTTTGTTTTGTTGTTTTTGCACTTGTCATTGCTGTCTAGCAGGCCCAGGCTGGGTTCAAACCTGCTAGCCTAGGAGTTACGTGGCTGGCGCTATAACCATTGTGCTATGGGTGCAAGCCCTTATTTTTTTGTTGCAGTTGTCATTGTTGTTTAGCAGGCCTGGGCTGGGTTCAAACCCACACCCCTGGTGTATGTGGCTGGCGCCATAACCATTGAGCTACAGGTGCCGCCGGCCTGCTGTATATTTTTCCTCTTTCAGGTTGGTCCCCAAAATGTTGAAGTCTAGCTATAGAAAACTAATATTAACCATAATTAAAAACATATTTAAGCTTAATTACCATGTACTACAGTAATAATTATGTATATCATTAAACATAAGTAAAATAATTGCTAAAAGCTTTTATTTGATTACAGTTTTAAAATATCCACGTAAGTTCAATCTTTGTAGTTTACAGCTTATGCAGCATGTTCATCAGCTTGCAACTAAAAAAAAATTAAAAAGAGGCTCGGTGCCTTGCAGCTCAAGTGGCTAAGGCACCAGCCACATACATCTGAGCTGGCAGGTTCGAATCCAGCCCGGGGCCACCAAACAACAATGATGGCTACAACAAAAAATAGCTGGGCATTATGGCGGGCACCTATGGCCCCAGCTACTTGGGAGGCGGAGGCAGGAGAATCACTTGAGCCCAGAAGTTGGAGGTTGCTGTGAGCTGTGATACCACAGTGCTCTCTGCCCAGGGCAACAGCTTGAGGCTCTGTCTCAAACAACCAACCAAAAAAAAAATTAAAAAGAACGTTGCTCCCTATTGAGTATGTATATAATAACACTAAAAATTTCAAAAATTTCGTTTAGACTAATCTATTTTTGAAACCATTTTCAAACCATTTCAAAAAACCAGTAATGGTTCAAAAATGACTAACACTCAAGACCTGAGGAAGAAACTGAGCAATGCCTCACTGAGTTTTAAAACCAGACAGAATGCCTCCTTATACTTCTACCTACTCTATTCACTTTCCTCTTGATTATTCTATTTGCCTCTTGCAAATAAAGCTTCCCATCTTCTTTTAAAAGTGCTTCTACCTGTACTACAACATCAAAGTTACCACATTTAAAGATGATTTGTAAAATCTATTACGTTAAGCTGCAGAAAGACGATCTGAGCAAGATTGTAGTTGTAATTATTAAAAGAAGGGAAAACACAACAGAATACAGTGAGACAAAAGGAAAACAGGCAGAATACAGATTTTAAAGGAGTAACATTTCCCCAGAATAGCAGTTCTCTAAGTCTAAAGTGTAGCAGATTCATGGATTCTCCACAGTCTAAGAAATCTGAATGCTGGGCTTGGCGCCGGCCATATGCACCAAAGCTGGCGGATTCAAACAAGGCCTGGGCCTGCTAAACAATGACAATTGCAACAAAAAAACAGCCAGGCGTTGTGGCGGGCACCTACAGTCCCAGCTACTTGGGGGGCTGAGGCAAGAGAATCGCTTAAGCCAAAGAGTTTAAGGTGACTGCGAGCTAAGATGCCAAGACACTCTACAGAGGGCGGACATAGTGAAACTCTGTCTCAAAAAAAGAAAAAAAATCTGAATGCTGGAGAATGATATACATTCTGATGATTACCTAAGGTTACAAGGGTCCATAAGTCAAGTCTTAAGAAATGCTATCCTTAAACAGAATTAAAAACAATAAAGGTATTATTTATATATAATTATATGTATAAAATAAATTATAAAAATAAGATAAAGGATGTAACACTTTAATAGAGGAGTAAGAATATAAATGCATAAAAGACATACAAATAGCAAATAAACACATGAAAATATGTTCAACTTTACTAATAAAAGATGCAAACATGCGAGAACACTTATGCCAACCAGATGGACAAAAATAATGATGGAACACCATAAAGGAAAGGGTGTAGAGGAAAGAACATTTTCAACGTTTTAGCATCTCCAAATACTACTGGTGAGAATGCAAACTAGTTGGTATTTTCAAAAAACAATGGTTACTTACTTTGAAAGCCCTCACAGTGTGCACAATCTGATCCAGCAAATCTATTTTACTCTAAGAAAGTAAGCACACAAGTACACACGATGCAAAACCAATATACAGAATTAGTACAGGCTGAGCACGGCAGCTCACACCCAGTGCTTTGGGAGGAAGACGCAGGAGGATCACTTGAGATGAGGTATTCAAGACCAGCCTGAGCAAGAGTGAGACTCCCCTAATACCTCTACAAAAAAATAGAAACATTAGCCAGGCAGGGTGGTGCATGCCTTTAGTTCCTGTTATTTGGGAGGCTGAAGCAGGAGGATTGCTCAAGCCTAGAAGACTGAAACTGCAGTGAACTATGATAATGCTATTGCATTGTAGCCTGGGAGACAAAATGAGATCTCGTCTCAAAAAAAAAAAATCATGTAACGTTGTTTGTAACAATAACCTAAAAGTCTACCAGTATAACGAAATATAATAGTCACTAAATACATTATGAATATTACAGTCACTAAAATGATGAGCATAAACCT